TTGAGTTAAAAAATTCACGGCCCCGAACGGGTTCGAACCTGCGACCCCCAAAATGAGATTTTTTGAAAAAAAGAATAATAAAACATTAAAATCTAAGGTAAAAAATAAAAAAAAACGTTTTAATAAAGTCTAAAAATGTTTTTATAAATATTCAAGTCAAAAAATCCAAATTAAAAAAGTCCCGGCCTCGAACGGGTTCGAACCTCCGACCCCCTCCCCCAGATGTGAGTTTTGGCCATTTCCGATTAAATTAAAAATTTACACACAAAAAACAAACCGAACTCATTACTCCAGCATAAACTTCACGAAAATAGGTAAAAATACAGAAAGCATTAACTGCATTCATTATACAAGCCATTAATGCTGGGGCAGTGTACATTGAAAGCATTAAACCAGAAATAAAAATATTTGGGCCAGGGTAACCAATTGGAGTAAAAAGTAGTTGAAAAGCTTAAAAATAAATTAAAATGAAAAAAATTTAAAGAAAATTAAATTTTTAAAAAATTATTTAAAGTGTAAGAAAAATAAAAAAATTCCGGCCCCGAGCGGGGTCGAACCCACGACCCCCAAAACGAGATTTTTTGGAAAAAAAATAATAAAATTTATTGGAAAAAATTTAAAAAACGTTTTGATAATGTCCAAAAATATTTTTATAAATATTTATGCCAAAAAATCTGAGTTAAAAAATTCCGGCCCCGAGCGGGTTCGAACCCACGACCCCCTAAACAATCTTTTTTAAAACCAAATATCCAACAAACAAAAAACAGAAAATAAAAGTAAAATAAAAAATAAACTAAACCTGGCCCCATAGTCATACCCAAAGCCACACCACCAGTTACCAAAGCAATAGCACGTGAACGATCGCGTTGGGTGCTGGCGCTAGAGGCATATGCTTTCAACAGACTTATGTTACCTTTAAAATAAAATTTTTTTCCTAAAAAAAATTATTTTTCAAATTAATAGTAGAGCGGAAAAGTCAAAAAAATCAAAAAAAAATTTCGAGAAAAAAATACTTGAGCCAATCCCCGTCACAAAACGTCCAATAAGCAACGCATATTTACGCTCTTCAATAGGGAATAAATGCACACACAAATACAAAGCATTTCCTAAAAATGCTAGGAAAATGCCAATATATAATAAATGACGAATCTAAATTTAAAAAATATTTTAAAAATTTTTGAAAGAAAAAAACCTTTTTTAGTCTATTAGATAAATAACCAACAATAGGGGAAGCAATCATTTGACCAAGTGAATAACTAGCAACAATATACCCGTAAAAATTTTCTGAGGCGGAAGAATCCATCTGTAAAAATATGTTTTTTTTTTAATTTATTAAAAATATTTGGAAAAATAAAGTGAGTTGGAAAAAAATAAGGTTGAGTTATCCCACTTAACCACATTATTACCAAAAATAATTTAAAGAAATTGTAATTAATCCACTTAACCACAGATGCATTTATTGATTCAACCCGATTTAGACAATCAAATAAACCTCCAAAAATAATATATTTGCTCCAAAAAGACTCGAACCCTATACCTTCGGTCTAACCCTCAAGAACACGTGAATTTAACCCACTTAACCACAAAAAACACAACCACCTAAAACTTGTTAACCTAGTGAAAAATGGAAATAAAACCCCTTGAAAATTAATTTAAAAATTTCCAAACAAACAATTTGTAAATATTGCCGCATAGAAGAAAAATAAAGAGAAAATTGCACAGCAGAACAAAAAGTCAAAAATGTACAAATATATAAAGAACGCCAATCAGAATGTTGGGAAGAATCGATGGAAGAATTGATTGAAGAATTTGTTGGTGTTGGAATTATTGTTGTTGTTGGTGGTGAAGGATTTAAATATTTTTTGAATGATTTTTGCTTAAAAATAAAAAAAAAATTTTTAATTTTTAAATTTATTTTTAATGCCAAAAATTCCAAAAAAATTTTTGTTAAACATTTAAGTCATGGAAATCTTCCAAAAAAATTTTTTTGGAGGCCTTAAAGTGTCCAAAATATTTTTAAAAATTTTTAGAATTTTTTAAAATATTAAAAAAACCAAAATCCATCAAAAGGACTCGAACCATACACCCAAAGGCGATAAAATCAAGCTAACTACCGACTTAACCACAATAATACTTTAAGAGAAAATGACCCAAAAAATTTTTTTTGATCTAAACATAGTTTTTAATAACCCAAAAAAATTTAAAATAAATTTAAAAAAAAATAAAAAAAATTTTTCGGCACAACCTCAAAAGTTAAAATTTTTTAAAATATTTAATAATTAACACAAACCGATTGATTTCTATCCAATAGGGGAGAAGAAGCATTTAAATTATTGTCCATTTCTTGAGGTCTTTTTGATTGATCAATCTAAAAATTTAAATTAATTTAAAAAATTTAAAAATCAAAATTAATTAAAAATGGGATCAAATGTCACTTTTACTCTACAACAGAGAAATAAATAAAACTTTAAAAATATGTAAAACTGATAGAAATAATAAAAAAAACTAAAGTAAAGGAAAAATTGAAACGGTAAAGGTAAAAATTTGGGTCGATTTAACTGAAAAAATGCCCCTTTTCGAAGGTTTTTCGGCCTTAACAAATTTTCCAAGTGACCCAAAATTTAGTTCTAAACAATTTTTAATAGCTAATTTCAAGCTCTATCGAATGATACCAAAAGAATTTTGGAAAGCTGACTCATTCAAAAGTTGTGGGGGTAAAAGTGGAGACTGTCAAGTTACTCTGTTGTTCAGGGGAAAAAATTTTTTGATTAAAAAAATAAAATAGAAATGGACTAGGAAAAAAATAAAATTAAACAAAAAAATCCTAAAATGTCCCTAAAAATAATTTCCCTTAAAACAAATTATTTTTCACGAAAAAATGAATAAAATACAAAGACAAATTGTTAAAAAAAAGGAATTTTATCAAATTAAAGGAAAAATTATTAATAAATTTTTACATTATTTTTATCAATAATTTGTAATAAAAATAAGGAAAATAATTATAATTTAGTATGGAATTATTTTGAAACCTCCAAAACTGGTTAAAAATCAGGAAATTGGAGAAATTATTTCTCACCGTTGCCTAACTTACCAGATCGGACACTTTTTGGGCTTAAATTTTTTTCGTTTAATCCAATTTCCTGTCAACTTTTATAATTGTAGAGTGGATCGGGGATGCCTAAACCTTACTCTAAACCCCCAAAACTGTTTAAATATCAGGATATTCGATTTTTTCTCATCACCGTTGCCTAACTTAACAGATCGGACACTTTTAGGCTTAAAATTTTTTTCGTTTAATCCAATTTCCTGTCGACCTGTCTGACCGTCGTGAGTATCGGGGGTGCCTAAAGCCTTACTCTAACCCCCTACCCAGACTCAAAAATAAATTTAAAAAATAAAAAAACAACTAACATTATCTTCCCTTATATTGCCCTCATTTCCACTCTTCACCATTCCGTCATTTTTCCCATTTGTTTTGTCTGTCTTGTTCAAAAGTTTATTATCATCCTCCGCTTTATTAGAAATAGAAGAGGAAGAAGACTCTTCATTTAATGATGAAATAGAATTATTGTCGTTGTTGTCATTATTTTCCGTCAATTTTAGATGTGTGGTGTCCATTTTTTAAAACTAAAAAAAACCCTAAAAATGAGGCTAGAAAAATTTTTTTTAGATAAATAAGTGGCAGAAAAACATAGAAAAATAAATTAGAATAAGAATTTAAAAGAAAAAAGAATAAAAACCGCCGAAGGGGTTCGAACCCCGACCCCCTTCCGATGTTGTAGTCAAAAAGACACGCACTTAGCCACACTAATCATATTTTTAAGAACAACTAGGTTAGTGGAGGAGTAGAGAAAAAATATAAAAAGAGGAATTTAGGACAAAATAAAATTAAAACCCCGACGTTGTTCGAACCCTACCCCCACCTCCCTGTAGTCAAAAATACATCCACTCAACCACACCCACCCTATTTTTTAATAATTTTAGGAAATGTTGGAAAATGAGCTTTTTAAATTTTTAAGAAATAAAATTCAAAGTACATATTTAAATCAACTAGTTTTAGCTTTAAAATTAGCAAGAAAATACGATTATTGTTTGTTCAGTAAAATAATCCTTTCAATTTTTAGCTTTCGCAATTTTTGCTAAAAAAATTAAAGAAGAATAGCTTCAACTTAAAAAATATTGATTAAAAAGAAGTTAAAGTTTGAAGATTAAAAAAGAGAATCAAGGAAAATCAAGAGTTGAATTAATTTTAAACAAAAAAAAAAGTACACCAAAGACAGAACGCCAAAAAATTAATTAAAATTTGAAATTTTTTTAGAAGGCCGAGGCAAAAAAAGGCATTTTGCCGTCGTTCAATTTTAACAAGAATCATATTTTTTTACTTTTGTATTATTAAGAAGTCATTTTTGACAAAAAATAACATTGGGAATGAGGAAGCGCGATTTTGTCTCTCCTTCTTTTGAATACTATTTTTGTCGCAAAACGCTTTTTAAGTGAACGCGCGCATTAAACAGAAAATTATAACCAACAAAAATTTAATAAAAAATAATCTAAAAAATTAAAATTATTTTTAAAATCAAAGATATATGAGTAAAAAAAGAATTAATAAATCTTTATTTATAAAATAAAAGAAAAAAAATATGACGAAACAGTTGGTAAGCAGTTAAGCTTCAATATAAAAAAAGATTAGCGTTACTAAGAGGAAATAATTTTTTTAAAAAAAGAGGAGCGAAGAAAATAGGTATTTAGGAAAAAAAAAGGTTAGAGAGAAAGCTTGCGAAAAAGTCAAAAAAAAATTTTTAAAAATTTGCAGATTTTTAAAATTGCGGATTTTTTAAATTTGCAGATGTCCGCAAATAGACTTGCGGACAAAAAATTTTTGCGGACAAAAATTTTTTTCAACATTCTAACCAAATAAAAAACACAAAACAACCTTTATATTATCTTCACATTTTTAACAATATTTTTTTTTTAATTTTTAGAGAAACTTTATATTTTTATTAGCCAGTAACTAATTTCTCTTGAATCGATAATTGGGTCTTTGCCAAATTCGCCAATAAGGAAACCATCAAATAATCACGCAAAGAATGCTTAGAAAGACTTTCGAGACGAGCTGGAGGTAATTGAGTATTTGCCAATTCAACAAGCTGTGAGGGAAAATAAAAGATTTAAAAGATTATAAAAAATGCGGACAAAATTTGCGGACAAAAATTATTTTAAATGTTTTGCGAGCAGGGTTGTATGGAATTTTTGTTAACAATTTTAAGCATAAAATTTTCAAGTAAAATTGTCACAAAAGGCAAAAAGAGTGTCAAACCTCCAACAAATCTTGTCGGCAAACTTATTCTCAAATTTGCGGACCAAAAATTTTGTCCGCCAATTTTTTGCGGACGTCCAAATTTGTTCTCAAAAAATTGTCTCCAATTTTGTCCGCAAATCCAAAAAAAAACATTTTTAAAAATTTCAAAAAAAAAAACCTCCATCAATTTTCTCCCAACTTCAGGATTAGGATTTTCCTCTTTTCCATTTAACACATTTTTAACATAACGCATTATACGCTCTAACCAGGTCAATATATTTTCTGTACATTCTAACAATTGTTCCTGTTCATCTCCCAATTCAATTTCACGACGTTCCGAGTCTATTCCTCTCTAAAAAATTTTTTAATAAAATTTAAAAAGTATTTTCTCCAAAAATGATGGAATTAAGCAAAATATGCACTCTTGGTTAAGTGCAATTGTGCTAGGTTTGCAACTAAAGGGTGTAGGGTTCGACCCCGCTCGGGGAAAACTAATTAAATTAAAGTTTTTTAGTAAATTTTTAATTTATAAAAAATATTTTTAAAACATTTCCCCTCTAAAAATAGGGAAATTAGAATTCTTGGTTAAGTGCAAATTTGTTAAATTTAGTAACTTTAGGGGTGCAGGGTTCGACCCCGCTCGGGGAAAATTAATTAATTTAAGGCTTTTTTAGGTTATTAAAAATTGTAAGAACCAAAATACTTAAAATAAAATCAAAAAATAATTTTTTAAAAAGTAAAAACCGTAATAAAATTGAGAGCAACAGCCTCTCCCAAAAAAGCATCCATTTCCACATTTAAAGGGCAAAAAGCACCATCACGCCTTGATAAAAATTTTTTTAGAAAATTTAATTAAAAGAAAAAAATAATCGAACATAGTAAAAGCTTTAACAGGCAAACGATTTGCTGTTGAACCGGAAAAAGTCAAATCCATAGTAAGCAAAATAACAGGTGGAAGTTCTTTTTTAGTTGCTTCGCGAGCCATTAACTTGATAAAAATAAAAAAATATTAAATTTCTATTTAAAAAGTTAATAAGACAAAAGAAAAAATAGAGGACAGAATTTTGAAAAAAATGTCTTCACAAGTATCCGCAAATAAAGTTTCGCAATTTTCACCCCCGGCCTCAAGGACGTACCCAAGGAGGGAGAATGCCCCCATCCTCGTCCCATCGAAATCCTCTGCTTCCTAAAACGGAAAAGAAAAAAATTTTTTGTGATAAAGAATGAGTTTTAAACAAAAAATTTTCGCTAGCAGTACAAAAATCCGCAATTATTACCATAAACACAAAAGTTGGTAAGGATGTTCAAGGAGAGCTATGTAATAGGGCCAAACCGCCCTTACTTTTCGCTGAGAAAAATAATGAAAAATTTTAGGAAAATAAAAAAGTGCAAAATCTTCGCTTGTAGAAAAGTCCGCAATTAGTATCCGCAAATTTTTTATTTTTTAAAGAAAAATGTTATCAAAAAAGGCAAAGAACAATGAAGATAAAGACTAGTAAAATAAATAAAATAGCTTTAAAAATAGAAAAAATATTAACCTGGCTATAATATGTATTGAAATGAAAACACGAATCAGGCAAATCTGGAACAGTAAAGAACCTAACGAAGAGAAAAATTTTCAAAAAAAAAATTTTTTTCTCAAAAAAAATTTCCAACAAACCATCCAACAATTTGTTCTGTAGGAGAAGAACGTTTACACATTTGCCACATTGAACGATTAAAATTATCGTTAATTTCAGGATTGTCTATTACAGCATCAGAAAATGGAATAGCATAACAATTGGTTGCCTATATTTTTAATAAAAATTTTCGAAAATAGAAAAATTAAAGGGAAAATTTAGTGGGGAATTGTTAAAGAAAGTTTTCCTCTCCTGAACCCAAAAATTAAAAAGAACATGTTTAGGGAGCATTCAGCCTGGAAAAACCTTTCAATAAGAGGCCCACCCGAACTGAATATTAGAGATGGCCTACGACCCCCATAAGGTCCTTAAGGAACGGAGTACCTTATGGGGGTAACAAGTCGCTGATCGAAAACCGGCCCTACTGACCGAACTGAATATTAGAGATGGCCTACAACCCCTATAAGGTTCTCAAGGACGGGAATATCGGGAAATAACAAGTCGCTGATCGGGAACCGGCCCTACTGAATACTAATTTAATAAATTAGTTGTTCTATCGTGCAGAACATGGTCAATGTCATTTGTCAATATTTTGGTATTTTTAGGCTCCATGATGCTCCAAAGTATTTCGGTCATCGTCTTTGCCTGAACAAAAACATTTCGAAAGGGCTGCTTATTGAAAAAGACCCCATGTTAGCGACAGAAAAAAGAGCCCTTCATTAATGCCTTGGCCAATAATTTATCGGACCCTTGGACAACCAAAAAAATTTAAAATTAAAAACCCATGTTATCGAAAGGAAAGAGCTCCTCGTTAGTGTTTTTGACCAATAATTTATCGGACCCTTGGACAACCAAATAAGTAAATTAAAAAACCAACCAAAAAATTTAAAATTAAAAGAAAAACCTGAACAACATTCTTCTCATAAAATCCAAGTAAAGTCCCCAAAGCACGACTTTCCACTCTTTCTTGGCGTTGGGCAGACATTGTAGTTGTTGAAACTGTCTTGCCAATATTTGAAGAAGATTTGCGTTCATAAGCATCGATTATAGACATATAAACAACTGGGTGAACTTTAACAGTAAGATCAATTGAAGGAGCCATTTTTCTTAAAATATTTTTTTATATCTAAAAAAATATTTTTTTTAAGAATTTTTAATCTAAATCCTGTTAATTTTTCCTCATTTTTAACAATTAAAAAATTTTTGTGGGTAATTTCGGCGCACTCATATAAGGCGCTAACTACGCCAAAACATTTTGCGCCGAAACGACAAGCATATAATTTAAGTAAATTTGGTAGTTAAGTGGGTTCGTTGGGAGAATAAAATTTTTAAATTAATTAAAGTATGCAGGTTCGAACACTTGCTAGCAGAAAATTTTTTTGAATAAAATTTTAAATTTAAAAACGATTTAAAAATAATTTAAATTGTTAAAAATGAGAAAATTTTTTGAATTTAAAATTAACAAAAAAATTAATAAATAAAATAAAAGGTATTAAAAATTGTGTTGAACAAATAATTCAAAATTTTTAAAAAAATTAATTAATATTTTTTTATACATTCTAAACAAATTAAATAATAGCGAATTAAAAAATTTTTTTTTTAATTTTTGACATTAAAAGTCAAAAAAATTAAAATTAGAGAGGCGAGAGGAAAAAAAAATTTATTAAATTTGCGGACAAAAAAATTTTTTTTTAAACATATGCATGATCTAAAATTGGATCCTAACATATAAAAAAATTTAAAGTTATTTACAAAAATCCGCAAATTAAAAAAAATCTTTCCGAAAGAAAACTTGTCATAAAATTAAGTTAAAAAATTAAACAAAAAAAAAGGAAAAAAGGAAGGTTAAAAGAGGCTCTGGTACAGGCTGTCAAATAAAGTTTTATAAATCCAATCAAAGTCTCATTGGACAACAAAATGTATCAGAACCAAAAATAATAGCGAATTACTAGGGGGACTGTCTAAAGCAAGAAAAGAGAGGGTGTAAGTCTTAAAATCAAGTTTAAATTAATATTGAGCGTCATTAAAATAAATAATGAGAAGGAAAGATGGCCTTCTTTGTTTTTTAAATTAGTTTAAAAAAACCTTTAACTTTTCAAGGCTTTTCTTGATGTAATTGAATTATAAATTCTTCCAATTTTTCTTGAATAAAACGAACTTGTGCTTAAAAATAAAATTAATTTTAAAAGAAAAAATTAATAAAAAACCCAATTCTTCAGCCAATTCAACTTGTCTACCAGTCAAATATTGCTTCTTTTTCTCATTATCTTGAGACCAGTCATTTAAAATTTCCTTAAAAAATTTAATTTTAATATTTAATTTAAAGGAAAGTTATTGCTAAACGCATAATGAATCCATCCCGTAGGTTCAGGGAGTAAAGAAAAAGAGAACCCTTAGAAAAGGTGATGCTAACAGAAGAATTAATATGTAATAAAAAATTTTATTGGGTATTCAAAAAAAATTTTTTTTGATATCTTTTATTTTATAAATTTTTTTGAAAAATTCAGAGCCATCTGCTGAAAATCCAAGGATTTCAGCAAGTGACCGAAAATTTAAAAATAAAATATGCGAATTGATTGTGAAAATAGAGCTTCAAATTTTTAAAATTAATTTAGAATTTTTAAGAGGGCTGGAGTTACACAAAATTTTTTTACTTAAATTACGAAAATCCCTTCATTTAAATAGAAAAACATTTTTTACATAAACTTTAAAACAAAAAATTTCTTCAAAACAAACCTTAACTTCTTTTTCCAATCTTTTTTGTTCCGTATTAACAACTTGTTGCCTCAAAGCATTACAACTTAATTCAAGCATTCGATTGATTCTATAGAAAAAAACAACAGCTTGGCAATCCAAATCTGAATCCAAACGAATTCCTTGTTTGTAATTTTGATAAAAACTTAGACAATCACGGCTAGCCTATTTAAAAAAAATTTCAAAAAAATTTTAATTCCAAAAAAACCTGTAATAATTTCTCCAAAAAATGCTGTCTAAAAACAAGCCTCCATTGTTGTCTAATTTGTTCTTGAGTAACTTCTGCTGTCAAAACATTTTTTGCATCTAAATTACGACGTACTACAGTCAAGTCATCATCGAGTAAGGATTGCTTATGGTCCTAGAAAAAAACAAATAAATTTTGATTTTCTTTTTTTCAAAGAAAAGTCCGCAAGTCACAAAATTTAAGCTAACAAAAAAAACAAGTTGTCAATATAAAACAGGAATGTCAGATGGTTGAGGAAAAAGTCAGGTTTTCTAAAATTCTTCAGATCGAGTTTTGCATCGAAAAAAGTCCGTGGTTCGGGGGGGGGGAGATTTGCTGCTAAAATTAAAAAATTTCGGTCGGGTCTGCTAGGGTGTTAGAGAGGAAAAAAACCCTAAAGCGGGTCATTTAAAGTAACGGATAAATATATTCTAATAATAAGACGAGAGCTACTTTTTCCTTAAAATTTCCTATAAAATTATTTTTCATCAACAACTTACAGGATTCGCAGAAAGAATAGAAAACAATTCATCCTGTATTGCCTTATTTATTTGTTGTTCTGGCGTAGGTGAACTCCAAGAAATCCAACCAGAAATGCCTGAAGGACCTCTTGCCGCTAAAATTAAAATTCCAAAACTCAAAAAAAATTTTTCTTACAATCCAAAGTTTTCCTCAATTCCTCCAAACGGTCAGAACACGCTTTTTGCATAAATTCACAGGATTGTTCCCATGCCCGTCTGTCTGGGACGACTTGATCTGCTACAGAATTGAGTTGAATTACACGCTAAGAAAAAAAAATTTTTTTTAGAAAATTCAAAAAATTAAAAAAAACCAAATAATCAAGTGCTTTAGGCTCCCATTTATGCTGTGAAAGTGCTGTTTCAACCAAAGCATTTTTTAAAGAAGTCAATAATTCTCCTGATTTTTTGTGGTCTCTTTGCTGCTTTTTTGCTGAATGACTACTTATTGTTCCACTACCTTTTTCTACTTGACGTCGAAATATTTGGGAAAGAGTTTCCCAGCCGACCTAAAAAAATTTTTTTAAAAATTGAAATAGAGTATTCTCAGGGGATATAGGACTATAATTCACAATTCCGTTAATCCCTTGGAATTCTCAAGGGCGTGACCAGAGTCGGAATTTGAAGAGGTCGTAAAAGAAAAAAATTCAGCTTTTCGATTGTACTTTCCCTAATATTATTCTCTTACTCAAGTTCAAGAAGTGGAAGGCTCCACCGTTACCTCAGCCTCAACAGGTCAAAAGCCCTTGCCAGCATCCTCTTGGGTCGCCTACAATTCTTTAACATCCTCAGCTTTAAAAAGTCCAAAAACCCTTAAAAAGTCCAAAGGCCCTCGGCTTTAAAAAGCCAAAGGCCCTTGCCAGCATCCTCCTTGGGTCGCCTACAATTCTTTAACCCCAAGCTTTCAAACTTTTAGGAAGCTAAATTGACTACTAACCCACCTTCTTCCCATAATTCAAATTAAAAAAACCTGAACAGATTTATGAGCCAATTCCTTCTCTGCCCAATGTTTTAATTTAATATCAATAAGAGTATTAAAAGATCCAGCATTATCTACAGCTGAGGCGGGCATTAATATTTGATCAAAAACTTGATGTGCTATAGCATTCCAAAGATTTGTTCTAAGTAATTGCTCCCATTCTGTGGCTGAAACAAGCGAAAGAGTAACAATTTCATCCAAAACTTCTCCTCTGGCCTGAAGAAAGAAAAATGACATAAGTTGGTTTGTTTAGAGAAACGTGGGCGGATTTTAAATAGACATAGCGACTATGAGCTACAGAATTTGACTATCTGCACAAGAATCTACATGACAAAAAAATAGATTACCGACTTTGGGAAACGCGGCTTCCAACCAAAAAAACGTTGGAAATTCCTGTTTATCGGGGATCGGGTCGGCTATAGACTGTCCAATGTCTGACATAAAGGGCGGACCGTCACCCTTCTACTCGAAATTTAATTTAAAATTGGCCTCTTTTAGAATTTGGCTCTTTTAAAAATTCACTTGAATGGATTTCCTCTCTAACAATTTACAAAAACACAAACCTTTTCAAATAACTCATCCCGAGTCAAATCCCTTTGATGTGTAAATGTATTGCGCCATTCAGTTTCCAAATTAAAACGGCTAGCCCTAAACGCATCTGCTTGGGCTTCAATAGATTCGCGTACCATACGCCAAAAACAATCAGCTACTGCCATCGACATATTTCTTGTTGTCATTTGTGTAGCTTTTAATATACCATCTCTAAAAAAATTATTAAAAGGTTAAATAAAGTGAGAAAAAAATTGAAGTAGAGCCCCTCAATGGAGAGGAATTTGAATGAAATCAGTCGGTTGTAGGATGGTTGGGCGATTAATACCCTTGCAGCGGTGAACTCTCAGGACCAAGTTTATTCAATCTTTAACTATTTTGTGGATTTGTTCGGCCGCTTTACTATGAAATACCTCTACCGATTGATCGTTTTCTTATAGTGGATGTCCACAAAAGTCGAAGGTTAAAATATCGGAACGATATTTTGGGATTAAGGTTTAAATCCCTCTAATAACAGTCAAAATTTTCAAGTTAAAAATCCCAAATTTTTTTCTTCTGTATTTACTTACAAATTCATGTCAGTTTAAAAAAAACCTGAATAATTTAGAATTTGCAAAGAATTCTTCCTCATAAGAACGAATATCACCAATACTCGATTCTTTTGTTCCAGTCCCTGTTACAACGGCAAAATAACCCAAAGCCTTCATTGGGAAGAGTTTTCCTTCCAAAATTTTTTTGATTCGATTTGGGTTATTTAAATTCTTTTCTGCCAAATCAACCTGAAAAAATTAATTTTGAGATTTTCAATTTAAAATTAAAAAAAAACTAAACCTTTGTTAATACAAGAATTGTTCGTTGTCCAGTTGGGTCAATACTGCTAACCAAATCAGTGACATTACTACGTTCAGCATCAACAGAGCCATCTTAAAAAATTAATTTGTTGAATTCGAAAAAATATAGATTTCTCAAAAAAGTAGTACTTATTGTATTTTTTCACTACTCTATAGAAAAGAGAGGTGCCCCCTCTAAAATAATTAGGGGCACTTCGAATAACAATCAACGAGTCTCTTGTTTTCGTAAGTCATACTA